GAGATCAACTATAGCTCCAACTTCAAATGCATCTTCGTTGAACGTCTTGTCCAAGTTGTCGCTTTGAGGAGTCCATCCGTAAGCAATTCGACTTATTGGTTTGCCCGAATCAGATAACGGGATCATAGCATCACTTGAATTAATTGTTTAGTCTCCTTGAATATTTGGTGATAATCATAGCTGGTGAACAAAAATATTTTGTGATAAGTTTGGTTTCACACATGAATAAAATTACTAATGAAAAAACTAAATGACATCAATTATTTTAATTGAAATAAAATTGACTCTACTTGAGAATAGAGTTACCTCATTGATAATCCCCTAGTTAAGACTGATCCAAATTCTTCTGAGTGGATGAGAGTTGATGCCTAGCTTTAAATACAAAAATGAAATTTTATCAATTTCGATCTATCTGATCATATTACACATTGTGATGTATTAAAGATGCGATGGGACAATTGAAATGTATTTTCTAGGAAAAAATATTTCTCAAATCTTTGATGTAAGCAAGTTGTTCTATCGAGCCAATCGTGATCAATCACTTAACACTTATCACATACATTTTAACCATGTTGATGAAGAATTGAATGCACTCAGTGATATTTGGATTCAACGAGCTCAAAGAGAAGAAATGACCATTATGAGTTTTCAAGTTGGTCTCAACTCGCAGTACAAGGTGTCAGATCACAAATCCTATCTTGAACCTGGAGTTACTAATTTGTGGGAAGCTTCTACTAGAGTATTGCAAACTATTCTGAGTTCTCGGGCTTCATCTAGCAATAACCTCGTGCTCTTGCCAGTTAAAAAAATACATACATCAGTAAACCTCTGTCTCAAGGCAATTATGATGGAACTCTAAATTCTGAAGAATCAATGCTCGAAGGTAGTTTTGCTACTACTTCCATAAACTTGGTTATACAAAGAGAACGTGTCAAAAGTTGCTAAAAAAGAATCAGAAAGATTCTATATCACGTCAGTTCACATGGTCACTACTAATGAGGCTTCTCAGAATCACACTCAATTTTTGCAAATGAATATGTTAAATTCATTCAATTTCAGGAAGCATCCGAGAAATCTCCCTTGATCACTACCCTTGTTGAGTCACCAACAATAATAATTGTCTTATTTCCTCTTCCACACAATTCGATATTACTTTCAATGCTACAGATAATATGACATGTAATCCAAATCTTTTCCACCTTTTATAAAATTCTTTCTTTTGTCACTTTAGCAGATGGACCTACCTCTAATATTTTTGGTATTTGCAATTAAATGAGTATTTGCAATTAAATTTCACTCTGATGGATTTGCAATTCATCTCAAAGCTTAGTTGGGTTTAGAGGGTTACGCTCAAGTTGACAGGCTCGCCTATTTCTGTCATAGGCCGCAATGAGTAATTGGCCCATTAACAAGTGCATGTAATGTGTTTATTTTTCACTTCAATTCTACCTTTTTATATGTTTATATTATGCTTTGTGGAAGGTCTTAGTGTTGTGTTACAGAATTCAAAGAAGAAGATCAAACGGAGCTTGAAACAAAGCCAAATGAAGTTAAGTGGTGTTCTGGCGCCTTCCCCGAAATAGTTAGCAAACCAAGAGCCTAGAAAGTAGGTGTCAGAGATTGGGTGCCTAGGTGTTGTCCAAGGGCAACTAGGCACCAAGTCACCCGAGTTTTAAACCAGAAAACCTGAGAGCCCATAAAATAGGTGTCGTGTCTGCAGTGTCGCGTCTGCAGCATCTAAGCACCACACTGCCACCACTTAGTGTTTGATGCCCAAAACTTGAAACCATGAACAACGCATAGGCATTAGTTTGCGAAAAATAATGGTTTTTCAGTTGGGTGTGTCTTTTTGACAGAAGAAGTATAAAACATATTACACGAATGAAGGGGGGTCTTTTCTACATTTTGGAACGAGGAACACTAAAGAGAAAGGCCAAAGAGGAGTTGTTAAGAGATTTTGAAGCGAAGGAAAGAGGGTTGGAGAAGTTCAAAGGGTGTATTCACTTTTCTTATAAATTTATGCATCTTACTTTGTGAAGGAGATAAGTACATTTCTAGTTTAAATTTTCATTTGAATTTTTTTGAAAACTTGGTGTATGATTTCTATGTTTAAATCATACTTTGATGTGAAGGTTTTTATAATGAAGAGTGAGTAAAACTTTTATTTCTTCCTTCAATGGAATAATAATGTGATATAAATGAAACTTTCCAAGTGTTTCCAATGTGAATTGTTGTTATAATGTTGAGTTAACACTTTGCTTAATTTATTTCCTGTCTTGCCGGTAGGTGTGTTAACATCCTTTGTGAACTAAGAAATCTGAAAGGATACTTAGTGAAAGAGGATAACCACATAAACTCACTAAAATAGGCATATTACCTTTGAGTTTATGCTAACATATAGGGAGATGTTATTCAATGGGGTTGATCAAGGGAACTAGGGAAGTAACCTTTTGACGATCTAATTTCCTTAGACTTCCGAAAGGAGATAAGGAAAAGAATTGTTCCTATTTAACACTAAATTGTAATCAATGTTCAGTTCTATTCTTCACTAGATCCATTCAAGAAGGAAACTTCTTGAAATTTGAATTTCTTCAAAAACTCCTTTGGATTGTTAAGATAGCCTTGCTTTTAAAATTATTATGATAGAAATTTTATTTGAACCTCGGAAAAACTTCAACATTTAGGCTAGGACCAATACTAGTTAGCTAGAATTTTTTTTTGAATTTGAGTTCATCTCGTTCCCTGTGGGATCGACACACAGAGTTTAATTTCGTATACTACTGATGAGTCGCTAGCGCTTCGCCGCACTTGGAGCATGTCACCCCTATACTATCTTGATGTAAAGAATGTCTTTATGCATGGTGACCTTTTAGAAGTATATCCTCGATTTGTTGGTTTGAGTATGAAGAAATATGTCATCTTCGGAAGTCATTATATAGATTGCAAAGTCTTAAGGCATAATTTGGAAAATTCAGCCATGCAATTGAAGAGGGTGGGATGAAGAAAAGTAAAAGTGATCACATTGTATTCTACAAGCAATATGTTTATGGGGTCAATTTATTAGTGGTTTATATTGATGACATCATTATTACTGGAAGCAATGTGCAAGAAATCTTCCAGTAAAATAATTTCTCTAAAATCAATTCAACACTAAAAATCTGAGTTTATTGATATATTTTTTGAGGATTGAAGTATCAAAGAGCAACAAGGGCATATTTCTATCTCAACAAAAGTATCTTTTGGATTTGCTAGCATAAGCTTAGAAATTAAGAGTTAAATTATGCAGCACTCCGATGCTTCTTAATCAACAACTTAGCAAGGATGGAGAGTCTTTCAATAATCCAAATTGATATAAGAAGTTAATGGGAAAATTCAATTACCTCACAATAACTCACCTTAGCATTATAAGTCAGTTTATGTCTTCCCCCACAAATCCATCATTAGTCAATTTTGGAACATGTACTATGTAACCTCAAAGGGGATCCTGGATGAGGTATTCTATATCAACATCATGGACATAAAAATATTGAATGTTTCTCTCATGCAAAATGGGTGGATTTCCATGATTGATCTAAGATTCATTACTAAATATTGCATTTTTTTGGTGGCATCTCATGGAAGACTAAGAAACATAATATAGTGTCACGATCCAGTGCAGAATCTGATTTGTGCAATGACACAAACTTCGAGTGCATTAGTGTGGATCTTCCAATTCATGACCAAAATGGGTTTTAATTTGACAGCCCCAGCAAAGTTGTGGTGTGATAACCAGGTTGCAATACATATTGCTTCAAATCCTGTCTTCCATGAATGAGCTAAGCACATTAAGATAGATTGTAATTTTGTTCGTGAAATGATTAGACAAAATTTGATTTCTACCGCTCATGTAAAGATTAAGAAACAACTAGGGGACATCTTCGCAAAGGCACTTAATGGAGCTAGGGTCACTTATATTTGTAATAAGCTAGGCATCATAAATATATATACTCTAACTTGAGGGGTGTTGTGAAAAGTAATAAATCTAAAGCATTTATATTAGGAAGATTGTATATATTAGAAAGCGTGACATTTAGGCAATCTAATTAGAGGAGACTTAATTACAGGATAGTTCCTATATTAGGGATATTCCTAACCTGGAGAGATGGGAGTGTATTTAAATATGTAACATATATTTTCAATAAATTCTTAAGAATTAAGAGAAAGCCTCCCTCACAGTTTTTAATACTACAAATTCCAATTTTCATTGAGTTGGACAAAGCATTTTAGTTAAACAAGGAGATTGTTAAGGTACTGGGGCAGACCAAGCATGACTAAAAAGCATTCCTAGTTTGTCTGATTGTGCCAAGCCTTGCAAGTTAAGGAGTTGGTCAAATTATCCAGTAACTGTGAGTAGAGCAGATCCGTTCGGAGCTAAGGAGTTGGTTTATCCAGGAACTCTGAGTAGAGCAGGTTGCTTGATTGAGCCCCGTGTCATTCTATTTCTATATCCCATGCCCAAACTTAATCGATGTAATCGCTAGAAGGCATCTGCCATGTATACAGCTCAAATCATTAGGCATAATTTTTCCCAAGAAATATACCCATATCATTGTAGAGAGGAGAAAGAGAGCAGATCATCTAGCACTAAAGATTATAAGACTAAGAGAAAGGTTCTACCTTACCAGATGTAAGGCTGATATGAATGTGGTTATACGTGTGATGAAACGAGAAAGCGCAAGTAAATCAAGGTTTTCAGGGGGGGTTTAGTGGTGCGTACTAGAGAATTAAGGTAGACTAATAAAACGATTGAGCATTTCATATTGTGCACAGTATCAAAATAATACATTTAAAGATCTAAACAAACATATGCAAGCGAAATAAAAAAAAAATGCAGAAATTTATTTAAAATATAGAACACTTGTAAATGAGCTTACATATGCAGGACGTCTAATAAAACCAAACCCATACTACGTACAACACTGATGACAATCCATACTGTGTGAAGGGAAATATATGAGTACCTCTAAGCGGAAGAACTTCTTCACAATCTCTCGCTGCTCTGGCTTTCCAGGTGCAGCAAAAGACTCTACTTCCACATTTTTCTTCTGTGAAGCCATCCGACGAGCTGCACCCTGAAAAAGACATGGTAATTGAGGAATAAAATCGCTCCAGCTGTAAAAGTAGGTAGCAGTACGCTGCCATATATTACTTGAGTGCACATATCGAGTACTTGATACTTACTGCAGCAGAAGCATCACGACCCAGCTGTGCAAGTTGGACACCAAGGCTTTGATGCATGGACATATACTGCCCCGAAAAAGGATGTCTGTTACCTGATAAAACCTGCCAGTTAAGAACAGGTCTCTGCAGACTCTCCCTAGTCACCTTGAATCCCTGCATTAAATTAAAATAGAGGAAAAAATAAAAAAATAAAAAAACACAAACACGCACGAAATGTATGAAGCTTTAAAAACACAATCTTAAAGTATATGCATTATTTTAATTGCTTATTTTATAGACAATTCTATGTTATTTTATCAAATGTTTATATGCTATAGACTTCAAAAGTTATTTAGATTATTGGAAGAAAAAATATAATGAAAATGTCAAGCTAAAAATTAGACAGATAAATTGAATTTTTAATTTTATTCACACTTGATAATAAAAATATCAAACAAATAATAGAGATTTTGATTAAAAAATGTTTTCATATTTTAATTAGCATTTGATAAAAAAATATTGAACAAATAGCTCAATGAATATATCAAAAATCTAATTTTGTAATTAAGAAAATATTAGAAATATTGTTGAGGGGATTATCATTAAACTTGACAAAACACTACAAAAATATTTGTTGATAGTAATAAAGGCTATTTTTAAGCATCCTATGTATAGTTAGTTAGGCTCGCTTAAACATTGATTATAACTCCATGTTGATAAAAAAATTAACAAACTATCTCAAACATGATCGTAAAATTTGAGTCATGAGCAAGATACTTTCGAGATCAATAAGAACAAGATTGCCCAACAAAATATTCAGCTTGGCTTAATTTATTTACAGTCCGATATTCAACAATATGGTCACAGAGAGACACATCGAGCAGGGACATCAATCCAGGTTGAAGATTCTAGTTTGAGTATAAGACAGTTTATATGACCCAAATATACTTAAACCGAATCCAACCCATAAATAATATGGGTCAAAGTATTTGACATGAACCCAAATCAACTAGCATACAACCGGTATGGCACATTTATTACATGGATCATGCATTTTTTAAGATCAATAAAACTAGATTGACTCAAATATGGCATGGCAAATCCAATCAACATGACCCAACACATCTAAACTAAAGCCCACATAGTTAGTTTTGGGTTAGTTTTGAGTTATTTAGGTCTACACAAATACAACTCGAATAAAAAATGAATCAATAATTAGACCCAAATCAGCCCAAATACTAATAAGGTCAATCAAAACTCAATTTTTTAAAAGGGTTCAAATCTAATTGTCAAGTTGAGTCATCTATTGACGCCCCCAGCATCAAGTCGTAAGATCAAAGATACTCATATGCTGGCCATTTATTGCACTCATAGGCCTGTTAAAGAAAATTATTTTGTATTATTTATTGAATATGTTATGGTGAATAATGACCATACAGAATGATACATAAAAGAAATAAATATATGAGAATAATATCAATAATATTGAAAATATTAAATCATATCCATCTAATATAACTGCTTTTTATGCAAAGTAACTATTAAATTCGTGAACCCTCAAGATGGAGCATTTATATCCATTAGCTCCAACTTATTACAACAACAACAAACCTTTATCCCACTAAGTGGGGTCGGCTACATGAATCCTTTTTCTCCATTGCATCCTCTTAAGTGTCATATTTTCATTTAATTCTAATAGATTAAGATCATTTTTTATACAATATGCCCAAGTATTTCTAGGTTTACCTCTGCCTTTGAATCTTAAACATCTACTCTCCTAATCGGATCATTAGATGGTCGACATTTAATGTGGCCAAACCATCTAAGATAACTCTCTCATTTTGTCCACCACTGGAGCTACACCAACCCTATCATAGATATATTCATTTCACATTTCATCTCTAAGTGTAAAGCTACTCATCCACCTAAGCATTCTCATCTCGGAAACACTTAACTTAGTTTTATGCTTTTCTTTTAAAGGCCAACATCCAGCGTCATAGAGCATTGCAGATCTAACCACCATCTTATAAAATTTTCCTTTTAGTCTAAGCAATACTTTTCTATCACACAATAGGCCCGAAGCATTCCTCCACTTCTACCAACCAACTTGAATTCTAGTAATAACATCCTCATAAATATCACGATCACTTTGCACAATGGACCCGAGATATCTTAAGCATTCACACCTTTTAACAATTTGATCACTCATAGTCTTTGTAACTAGAGCTGCAACTACTAAAATTACATTCCATGTATTTAGTTTTAGTTCTACTCAAAGGAAGGACTTTAGACTCCAATGTAGAATTCTATAATTCAAGTTTTTATTGAGTTTTTTCTGTAGTCTTATCCACAAGAAGGATATCATCAGTGAAAAGCACACAGCAAGGTACATCCTCCTGTAAATGTCCAGTAAGAGCATACATAACTAAAGCATAAAGATATGGGCTTAAAGCCGATCCCTGATATAATCTAACTGAAATAGGAAAATATTTGGTCAATCCTACTTCTGTTTGAACACAAGTAATATCTCAGTAACAACTCTAATATCATATCTTTAATGACTTCAATATAAGTCATATCAACATCTTTCTTCTCTAGAACTCTTCCAAGGATATTTCTTGGAACTTTATTGTAAGTGTTTTCTAAATCAATAAAAATCATATGTAGATCCTCTTTATTCTCTCTAAACTTCTCCATCAAATCTCTCAATAAATGTATAGCTTCCATAGTGACCTGCCCAAATTCAAATTAATTATGAGAAATCTTTGTAATATGTCTTAATCTATGTTCATTTACCTTCTTCAATAATTTTAAGGTGTGAAGCATCAACTTAATTGCTTTATAATTTGCACACTCTTGTGCATCCACTTTATTCTTAAAAAAGGGATCAAAATACTCTTCCTCCACTCTTTGGGCAACTTTTTAGTTTTTAAAATAATATTAAAAAGTTTAGTAAGCCAATAAATTCTCAAATCTCCTATATATTTCCACACTTCTATATTTCCACACTTCAATTGTTCCACACTTCAATTGGGATATCATCAGATCATACAAACTTTTCACCCTTGATTTTCTTTAAAGCCTCTCTAATTGCTTTTTTACTAATGTGACGGTAAAAATAAATATTTTATCATTGTTAATTAAAATCACTAATACTGATCATCCACCTATGTTGAACATACTTTTCAAAGAAAATGAATTTTTAATTTTCATTTTTAATACACTTTACTTGAGTTAAATTTTTACTTTATTTTTTTTTCTATTTGTTTGACTAGTTTATACATATATTTTTCACCCTCTTTAGTATCTAATTTATTATAAAGATCACTAAAAACAACAGTGTCTCAGATTATTCTCACAAACTTCCTACGGACCATTTTATATTTTTCTTAATTCTCTAAGCTTTTACATTTAAATCAATGTTTATAACATTTCTTCGTATATTTTACTTTTCTCATACATTATTATTCCACCGCCAATTATTTTTATTTATAGAAACTTTTTTTCATCCTTCACGTACAACTTTTGTCACTTATTTAATAGTGTTTGTTACTTTATCCCACATAGCATTTGCTTCTTCATGAATATCCTAAATCTTGAAATCTTAAAGTTTACTCATAAAAATAATTTTATTTGTCTTTTAGAAGCCCAAATCTAAATATACGACAAAGATTCCTAATATTCTTTATTTTACAACTCTTCATCTTAAATTACTAATAATCGATGTTAAGTATTTAATATTTAAATCCTCACTTGGAATGACCTAACAATCATTACATTCACGACGATCTCTTCTTCTCATAAGAAAATAATCAATTTGTGTTCAATTAGATTCATTCTTACGAGTAATAATATACTCATCTCTTTTCTTAAATAAAGTATTAACAATAACAAAATCATACACTAAAGCAAAATCTAATATGACTATACTTTCTTCATTAATTACTTCAAAATCGTAGCCAACATGAATATTTCTAAAATCTTCTACCACTATACTAACATGTCTATTTAAATCTCCTCGAATAAATTTTTTTTTCTTTAAGAGATATCATTTGTATTAAGTCTTCTAAGTTATTCCATAATTTTTCTTGAAAATCTATATCTAAACCAATTTGAGGAGCAAAAGCACTTATTAATTGAATATTTCCTATTCGGCCCAGCCAGCCTTGCCTTTATTCGCAAAAACCGGACGAAGGCGGGAGAGCAAACTAAGCAGGCCGAAAATTTGAGCAGAAGAAATAGTAAAGAAATAAGGCTCCTTGCCTTATTCGCGAGAATTAGAGAAAGAAAGGCGGGAGTTTAATCACAAATTATGAGGCGGTGGGTTCTAGAAGGAAGAATCGGCAGAGCCTTTCATAAAAGAATGAAATAACTCCATTTAAATAGATGCTAGAACTGTCAAAGAAAGGTAGTGGACCGAGCTCCACAATACTCAACACCGAGGGTCAAGGGGAAGTCGCAATGAGGGCATTGTGAGCTTAAGTGGGGGAGAGTGTCACGCTCCGCCATCCTCTATAAATTAGCAAAACAAGCATGGGATGAAAGATTCTAGAGAAGTCCATATTGTAAAGAGCAATTCAATGGATTCTAAAAGATTCTGCCCAATTATAGAGAATATGAGAAAGAAAGGCTCCAAGGAGAACTCAAGAATAACCTAAAAAGTCCAAGGGCTATATATGTAGATATGAATACTGGAGAACATTCTAGAAACTAGACTATTCTAGGATATTCCCTTAGACTTGAAGGGAACTTTAAATAGAAGTCCCTACCTATATTTGTAACCTTCCAAGCAAACCTTCCAATCTACCAAGCATTCAAGTGTTGCAATTCTTCTTTCTTAGTGAAATATTCATTTCTCCAATACTTCTCGCTGCTCTTCATCTTAGAGTGTTTTGTCCTTACAAGATCAAGCGTTGTAAGGGTTAGGCTGATTTAATGCCAAAAAGAGCGCTAAAGCCACACGGGCAACTTGAGACAAGTAGTCCATGATATGTAGTTCTCAATAGAACATAGAAATTTTATAGCTGGAGCCTATAAATAAGCATACAAGATGAATCTCCCCACCCCCCAATAGCTTATAACAAGAATTTGTAAAGCAAATAATCGCTAGAGATTAGGCATAGATATTTCAATAGATACGTGAGAAGTGATAATATTTTTTAGAAATAAGCATCTTGATGAAGTGACTGTTGACTCCAATATGCTGGGTTCTTTCATAAAAGATAAAATTGCTTGCAATATAGATGATTGTTTAATCATCAAAATCAAGGATAATGGGTTGTGTTATGCAAGAGTTTTGATCCACATAATTCTGAAAGTAGAATGTGTCTTACCATGTATTCAACTTTGGTACTTGATATGGGTAAAATGATATGCTTCTTACTTTTTAAGGATATGAGATTTCCACCATAATGACACAGTATCCAGTACCATTCTTATCCTCAATAGATCCAACATAGTTTGCATCAGAAGAAAAGGGTTCAATACTCAAATGACTACATTTAAAAAACAAGTTAATTATTTAATAAATTTCTAGATAATAGAAAAACTTAGAACAGTCTCTAAGAGTACATTTTTCTGGAATTTGCATATGTTGACCGACCACTGCAATGAATAAGAATATGCCGAGTTTGCCAATAAGATATCAATGTCAGAAGGCTCTTCATGACAAAAAATAGGTTTACCCCAACAAAAGCTTAAACCAAATCTCAAGTATAACGATCAAGAGGAGAGCTCATTTCATTTTCCATCGTCTACTTTCAAATAAGGACTAGCAGAGCCTCCTACCATGTCCTAGGTATAGACATAATAGATAACAAGATAAACTGACAATAAAAGAGGGGAGATTATCAAAGGATAAAGATTATAGCAGCTGGTTAGTGCGTCAGTGTTTACCTTCACGAAAAATAATGAGAAAATGAATATAAGAGAGTTATGTGGTAACTAGATGCTTAGTCAAAGTTGAAAAAATGGATAAGGAGTTATAAATAAGATAGTCAAGCTTGCGAGCATAACCTAGAGAGAAGAGGTGTCAAGGACAAAGGAAGTAGAGGTATTTAAAGAGGTAGTTATGTAAGAGATGAATCAAGAGTGGAGGAAATGACTAGGAGGTAGAACCCATGATCCCCGTCTACGTGGGTTTGGAATCAGAATAGAAGTCCATCCCGTGAGGCTCTGTAGCGGGATTTTCCCATCTACTAGATATTTTTGGGTCTCATAAGCCCCTATTTGTTTTATATTGATTTATAATTAGGGTTTATTTTTCTACCATAGTGTAAAAAGATTATTTAAGACCTTATTTGAACAATTTTGGGTTTTGATTTATACAACAAAGATTATTTTTTGCCAGTTATTTCTTGCTAGATTATTGTATCCTTAGATCTTTCCCAAGTGTTGTGGTTGTAGTCTGATTGGATCGAGGCGATGAAATCTCCCGAACATCAGAAGACTTCATATGTCGCCGATCTCATAGCCAATCTACAGTTTTCCTATTATGGCTTGCTGTCCAGCAGCCAAGAACCCAATTTCTCAGTTGGCATCTTTTCACCTTTCTTTATCGTCTTGCAACTTACCTAGCCAGCAGCCAAGAACCCCAATTTCTCAGTTGTCATTATCTTTTCGCCATTTTTTCTCATCTTACAACTTACCTAACTTCTTTTGATCACCACACAGTCTAGTAACTCTAAATCGGTGTGAAGGCATTCGCAAAAAGCAACACCAATAAAGACATAGTTTTATGGTTAAAGGATCATAATATGATAGCCTTTTCGAGTATGAGAATAATTAGCAAAGAATCATTGCATGGCAAGAGCAAGAGGGTCTAGTATGTCACAGCCTAAAAGATAGTGCCTAAAAGATAGTTTATGATGATAAAGAAAAGAGAACATAATAGTACCGTTCAGAACACTAGATGACATATGATTTCTTAAGTGACATGCAGTAAGAATAGTGTCATCAACATAAGAAACATGCACGTGATAAATTAAGAACCAAGCAACGCAAGAAGACGGCAATGTTTATACTGTACAAAATAATTTGTTAAGATGTATTGAGAACATAAGGATTGCCAAAATGTCATTCTAAACATAATTATGAGTAGTTTATAATCCAAATACACTAAAATTATCAGTATGAATAATTTTAATTTAAATAGAAAAATGCACTTATACTTTTTTATAAAATAGTTTGAATATTGATAAGACATTAGAGCAATATTTTAAAGGATAAGCCCAATAAACTCCAATATGGTGATCAATGAAGAAAACTAAATGGTGAAAACTGATAATGAGTAGTAAAAGGACTTCATCCTCTCAAAGCAAATCAGTTCAAAAGAAGTTTTATTGTAAGAAGACAGAGAAGGGAGAGAACACGTGATATTTTTTAAAATTCATAGGAATCGCACAAAAGGACTTGAATGATGCTCTAAACTTAATGAATAGAATGTCTAGATAGTGGTGCCACTAATAAGACGACATGTTAGATATAACAATGGGATCAACGACTTCGAGATAATAAATATCATCATTTTCAATGCCAACATTAATCATCTTCATGCTAAAATCCTAAAAAACACACTAAGTAGGATAAAATACTATTGAGCAATTGAGAGTCTTAGCTCGAGTGCATATAAATAAATGATTGAAAGAAAATTGTGACACATAAAGCAAGGTCTAGGTTTAAGATTTAGGAAAAGTCGATAGAACTTTTGTCAAATCCTAGAGGAGAACTATAGACAAAATAGTAAGTGGGAGAAGAATATCATAAGAGAGAAAATAACCCTTGACTATATGCCACATGTAAGAAAGAACATAATTTAAAACTATATGAGCCAATAAAGACAATCGCAATATACCAAGGAAAAGAGTCTATATGAGAAGTAAGACAAATGGTTGTATTTGTGAAAGCAATTGATCATAACTTCTGGAGAGAGCTACAGATCCAAAAGCCTTGACATTAAAAGTAGAAAAAGTGGGACTAGATGTGAACTTATGATGAGGGTGGATGGGTAATCAAATTTCGCCCAAACACAATCAAGAGAAGGAATAGTACAGCTACAATGAGGGCTGACACTAATAGCCAGGACTAAGAGTTACCAACACGATCACCTCATCCACAATTCCCATGACTATCTCGAGAACTAGTGACTATGGTTCTAGTTAGGATTGGCAAGCTAATTCAAAAAAAATTGTCATAAGTAGAACCAATCAAAAGTAGTTGCCACATTAAGGCCAATGTAGTCAATCATCACTTAAGATTGCACACACTGTAAAGAAAAATAGAATCTAAAAAGAAATTGGGCAACAAGAATTATTCATGTTGTCGTTATCAAATAGGTGTATCAATTTTGAAAGAATAACTGAGTAACTTGTACCATTTTTGCATGGAGAAATATGTTATTCTCGACCTATATATCATTATTATTATTATTATTATACATATATATCAAAAAACTCTTGCATCTTTCTTGCAGAGTCCCAAAATTCGACTATTGTGGTGATGAAAAGTTCGAAAGTAGAAGGAACAAGGTGAGAAAAGCATAGTTAGAAGCTTGTCATTTTGAGAACTTGACAGAATCAATGCTATCTACAAGATATCTATCAAGGTATTTCAAGGAGAGCTATCAAGGTGATGGAGTTTGTCATTAGAACTAAACAAGAAGCAAAAAGTCTTAATGAAAGAAAATATTAGGTACCAACAAATTTGATGTTTTATCATGATGAAGAGTTTTAATTCTTTGAGCTAAGAATAAGATATCATGCCACCATTAAAAAAGAAAAAGTGAATCTAAGAGATAAAAACTATAAGTTATGTAAGTCATAAGATTGTCAAAAGCATGACATAACAATGACAAATACATTGCCTTGAGTACAATTGAATGTGTGCGTGAGTGGGCTCAATGAAAGCAACAGAAGGTTAAGCACAAGATACTCCAATGAGCTATAAGCAAGCCTTTGATTGAAGCAAGTCAAAAACATAGTATTGTGGGCTATACGAACAAGAGAACAAACAGCATCATAGGTTGCAGGCAAGTAAATCATTGCACAAACAAGTGGATTGCGGGATGGAAGAATAGCCATACAGAAATAAGGTAACCATCAATAGGCATTTATGAAGTATTAAAAAAAAATGTTGAATATACTCAATTAAATGAATATTAAAATGTAAAAAAACATGCATCTCTCCAATACTAGACTTCCTAGATATATCACCTTCCAATCTCACAATTATCCTAGCAATGCTCTATTACAAGGGCCCAAAACATTTGTCCATGATTTAAGAATTTAACACTTTGTGAATTAAGTCTATGAACACGAGACATCTTTGTGAATTACTATTTGGCCTTCGTCATATTTATTGTTGCTTTCAACAAAATTACAAGAATTTGTATCTCTTGGTCACAGCAGAAATCAATGCTCGTGTTTCAGTGGTGCCATTGTTATTTTACAAAATAACTCCAATTAGTCGAGTTACACCAAGTTATTGGAAGGTTATCACCTGCAAATAGTAAACACTAGAAGCATCAAAGTCATTGATCAATTATGGGCACATAAAGTTAGAGTGAGAACTAAAAAGGGGCACATAAAGTTAGAGTGAGAACTAAAAGGGATCATAATTGGGTCGAAAACGAGGAACTGAACCCAGTACTCTCATTTTGAAACTATTCAATTAGGAACTGAACCCAGTACTCTCATGCGGCTCAACATATAATTTATAAATCAACTAAAAAATTCAAAAGCCTTGTAGAACTGCAAATGTAGATTGGCAGGAACAATCAACCAAATCTCTAACAAAACTTATATCTGGAAACTGAAATAAATCAAATAGATTGATCCATCCAATGAAGAAATTAAAGGTTTGAAATATCAATAAAGAGCGAGAGAGAGGAAGAGTATTTCAATAAATCAGCTGAGGACAAACCTTGTTTGTAGAAGGAGAAGCAGGGATTTCAATGTTGATGAGGCATCCTTTTAGAAAAGCTCCCTTATCTGCATCCCTAATGGCAGCTCTTAGCAAAGGTAGGCACACATCAACTGCATCCTTGAAATCACTTTCATGACTTTCATCCTTCCTCCTAGTATAATCAAACAATTTACAGTGAGACGAATACAGGTTCCACATAGCAAGCCACATCTTCACAAGCAAATATATATATATATATATATATAACACCAACGAAATATTGCATAACTTACCAGTTCAATGAAATTGACAATGAAGGTATACCGGACATTAAAGCTTCTCGTGCCCCGGCAATAGCACCAGAGTAAAAGCTATATATATTTTTGCAGTAAAATAGAGCCGTTCAGAATCAAACATAATCCCAAAATGCATAGGAAATCAGGAAGCCATGTGATTCAAAGTAAAACCAAAGATGAAATAGCATAATGTAAGAAGCAAATTTAAAAATATGTGTGAATACATTAACAGAAAGAAACATATTAAGCTGATTAGGAACAGATCAAAGTGATGAACAGAAAATATTATTTCAAAAGCGGAAAGCAAAAAATAAAAAACTGGGCTCAGATGCCTACATGTGACGGCCACAACTTGTTCCCTTGTTAACTCCACTGATAACCTATTCAAAGAAATATAATTATGTCATTCCACAAGATCCATGATCAATTCATATGAACTTGTATACTATTTCTGAAGAAAAATATACCAGCGCTGGTCTGGACCAAGGAAACAATAAGCCTGAAAAGGCCAACGAGACACTGTCTGCAGGAGTGCCTGTTTAGACATGAAAGACTGACAGAATTACATGCGAGTGATTAAAGATGCCCCTATGCCAGCTAGTTATTTAGTACTACAATGTCAATTTCCAAACAGGATATTAACACGTAAGAATGCAATTTTAGTTTCCATTCTACAGAGAAAGAAAATGATAGGAGATCCATACCACCCAATTACTATTATTTACATATCTAACACATAAACTTCATTTTTTTACATTAATACCGCCCAAATCATTCATATCACATCAAAAATACAACTATTTTTAACTTTTAAAAAGCTAAATATACCTTTTCATGCATAAGCAAGGTGGCATATAGGTAAAAATTGAAGTTTAGGTGTTAGATATGTAATTACAGAGATTGAATGGTAGTATGTAAATCTTCCAAAAAGACAATGCCAAACAAAACTCAAGCATGAATTTAAGTTGCTTGATTTATCAATGAACGACATGAAATAACAAAACATAAATAAACTGCTGAATTAATTACCTGAAACTGCAAAAGCCACTGCACCATTAATTTCCACTGAGCTAGCTGCAATGGTCTCTGGAAAAGATACAGAATGCCCAGAAGAAGATTTATCCCTGCTCCCCGTTGACCAAAAAAATATTAACATTCTAAGAACCATATGTAAGAGATTAGACAGTTATAGGTGTTGGAAATATTAGCCTTCTAAGAACCATAGGTAAGAGATTAGACATATGGGGCGTTAGTTGGTAATATTTCACCAAGATTTAGGCTAAATCTTGCAAAAACAATTTAAAGCCGTATAAATTTTCATACAATCTTAAATCCCATTGTAAACTAAATCATGGATTCAGTAAATTCGGGGGGAAGTAAGATTTAAAACATTTACACTATTTCTCCTTGTTTCATTTAAATGTAAATTTAGATGATACAGTCAAAAAGTTTATTAGGATTAAATAGATTTTAATCTCTATCATGCCAAAAAATTGTAAGGTTTAAGAAATTAAGAAATTACTAAATCGAATTTCAATTAGATCCTACTTCCACCAAACAGCCTGTACCTTTCATTTTTTTAGTTTCTTTTTCCTGAACGAATAACGGATCTTGTTTCCAGTGAAGCAACATGACAATGAAAATTCAGTTGGATTTTCATACTTTAGAAGTATTTTATTGGTTTATATGAACGAAAGAACTCACAAGAGCAACAACGTTCTCGAAGCAAATATCTTAATAAACTCAAAACTGGATCAATACCAAGAATCTTTGTTAACTAACTTCATTAAAAATATAAATCAATAACAACATATACAGGTCAAGTAAAAATAACACAACAAAAAACATTGTAAAAAAAAGAACGAAATGAATTGGAAAGAAATTGAAACTGAATCCAAACTCCAATACAACCATCAGAAAAAAGAAAGAATTAAATCAAATAAAGTAAAATATAGTAAAGACATCTTGTATATCCCTGCTTTTTTAAAAATATATATGCATATACATATAAGCACGTCTACTCTAATCAATAAATTTTCCAAATAAAAAAACAAAAAAACAAAAAGCATATTCCCTAATCAAGAAGTTAGGGCACCGCACTCACGATTCAGGAGCACAAACGTAGACATCGTACTGTTCGTCCCGGACGAGCGCCTCCACAAGCAAAACGATCCCCGGGGATTCAATTCCATCACCATTAGTCACGAGAACAATGGGCTTCATCACAGGCGGCATCAAACCGGAGTCAACTTCCGAAGAAGACACCCTTGAATCCTCATTCGCACCCGTATCCTTCTCCTCACCATCTCCGTTTCCACTTCGAGCCTCCTTTCTTCCAGCAAGGACGCCCTGAAGATTTGCGATCAGCGCTGGCGGTAGTTGATTCTTCTTCATCGAGGTCATACTATTCGTCAGAAGTGGTACCGTAAGAGTATATAGAAGCTCTTGAAAAAAAGATTCTGATGAGTCTCTGATAGGTGTTTTTCGGAGGAGAAAGGGGGACAGGAAGAAAGAAACAGGCGCTGCTCTGCCTTCACAGCTGGACCGTAGGGAGGGAGGACAGAGACGGATGATTTGCGAAAAGAGTAACGGGGCAGGCCGTGTTCCGTTGGGATTGAACTTCAGTTTAAACAAATCTGTATTTATATTATCTGGTCTAGATTTTGTGATATTTATATTAACGATAGATTTAAGATTTGATGTTTAAATTCGGATTTTGTAGATGGTTGAATCATAAATATTAAATTAGTTTTTTAATTTAAATTAAATTATATAATAACAGTTTGAGAAAATCAAAATTTTAAAATTGTTTTTTAACTGTTTTTTTAATGAATTTTTGTAGTCTCAACTAGAAGATCAAAATCAAAAGTTTTGAATCTAAAAGGATCCGAAGAACACACCAAAGGACTAAACGTTAAGAGAGAGAAGTAGATGATGACAGAGTGTCGCAGTAAATAGTAAAGAGTGTGTAATCATTATTCACATAATAGGCCCCTATTTACATGCATAAGTCGCGACATTAAAAAAAATACATATTAGTCCGCACATCATTGACTTTTTGGATGGGCTTTTTCCTAGTTACAAAGTTATTCACATATAATAAGATTGGTGGGGGGGGCTAATTTGATTGGATAGGAGTTTGATAAACCTCGAATCGATCAATATTTAATCCAAAAAAATGTTTTATGTCGATCGTCCTGAGAGCTAATCACCGCCCTGCAAGGAAATCTCCTGACATGTTCTGCCGATCAACCAACAAGACGCCTCTCTCGTCATCGTCCAGCCCGAAACAGTCATCAACAACTACGTTTGATCAGTTGTTTCTTCCTCTTGAGTCGTTTATCTGTCTTGACATTCGTGCTGACATATTTTATATGTACAAAAAAAATTAATATTAAAATATTGTGATTCATAAAAATTTAGTCTAATTCATCGATTCACTAGTTAATCATCAATTATGCAGGAAATCAATTCTGAACATGAATTAAACTAGTACGAGAACCATTTTATAATTGAAATGGCGGGGCAGACTGATCAGGCCATGCGTATTTTACTATTTCCCATTCTATTCTACTATATTTAAATAGAATATCATATGTATTATAATTCAAGTACTATGGAGTTATTTGTTTCAATATAAAATAAGATTTTATTTTTTATTAATTGATTTGAAGTAAAATAAAAATAATGTAATTAAACATAATTTCTTAGTCGGCGGAGGTGGTCGACGGATGACAATGGTCGGCAGCTGATAATTGCGATGGTAATGGTTGGCAGACAGTGCTAAAAGGTGGGCTACAATAGTCATTAACCGCAGAGGCCGACAACAATGATGGACTATTGTTGTGATGGTCGGCGACTAGTTGCAATGGCCAGAGATAATGAACAACGTCAGCAATGGACAACGATGAATAACAACTGTTGCAGTGGTCGGCGACGGGCGTCGTCAAACATCAAAACTCTTAAAACCCACACAACAAATGCAACACACCAAACAGCTTAACATGCATGACATCCACAATGCACTTATTAATATCTAATGCCTAAATTTTGTTATTGATGCAATACACCGCTTTCTTAATTAACTATATTCAATGAACGAAGTCTCAATGGCTAAGGGCGATGGGATCTAATCTAGCGAGGGTGGAAGAAATTGAAAATGTATGATGGACGCCAACAGATCTTGATGTATTCCTCTCGGCTCTCCCAAAAATTCTTCGAAGCGGCAATGTCGGACACGGTGTGCTACAACTCAGTCGCAATCATTGTTGGCATCGTCATCGATGTGGCAGAGGGACTTATAGAAGTAGTTGGGGAAACACGCGGGGGATGTGGTGAGGCAAGCGGCGGAAGATGCTGAACATGTAGAAGAAGACAATGCGGAAAAAATGGAGGATTTTATGTTTGTTTCTTTTTAATGAAGTTTATGTGTGTGTATATATATATATATATATATATATTTATTTATTGGAACTTGGGTGATGTCTGCCGCAATCGTCAGTATTTTTGACTTTCGTGTTGCAGATACAACGAACTCGTCGGCTCCCAGACGTCGCGGTGCATCGCAGCACGCAAACATGGGAAGTGATTTGTGGCGGGTTGCATTCCATGGTTATGGTTTTTTTTTCTTTTAATTTTACCACTTCTCATTTCCACTTATTTCTTGTCTTTATCTTCAATATATAATCAATTAGGGCAATTTTTTTTGCTGCGAGCTTCATTCTCTTCATGCATGTTGGCTGATCTCTACAGTTGCTCTCATTTTTCCTCACAAGGCAACTGGTGATACGTCTGAAACCTAAACTATCCTCTCTCTCTCTCTCTTTCTCTCTTACTCTCATTTCTTCGTATGAATAACTATTGCTATCAAGTTTTGATTTTTTTTTGTTATCTTGGCTAATTCCAGCCACTTAGGAGAAATACATATGTCTAACAAATCTCCACCTTAGCGAATATCCAGCCCCTTAGAAGAACATACATTATGGAGTTTCCTATGCACCAATGTGGGTTGGGTCATTTTAAATAATTCATTAATTAAGATTCCTTAATTAAGTTTCATTTAATTAAATTTCCAACAAATAAAAATTTTCCCTTAATTAAGTTTTCAAGAAAGAAGAATTTGCTTTAATTAAATTTTTCTTTATTAAACTTTCTCAGAAATCTTTTTTCTTTAAACTTCCAAGAAAAGCTCTGTTTTTTTTCTCAGAAAAGCTTCGTTTTCACTTTCTATAGAAGTTCTTTTTTTTTTTTCAGAAAACTCTGCTTTCTTTCTCAGAAAAGCTCCGCCTTCCAGATAAGCACTGCTTCCGCTTTCCAAAAAATCTCATTTTTCCTTCTAGAAAAGCTCCGCCTTCCAGAAAAGCTCCACCTTAATTAAGCCTTAATTGAGCCTCCAACAAAGATTTTCCTTAATTAAGTCTCCATCAATTATTTCCTTAATTAAGCCTCTAGCGATTATTTCATTAATTATTTCCTTTCCAATTGCTTTTCTTGAGTCCTAGAATATCTCTGGAATATCTCTGCGCTAAATTTCCTTCTCCACGGACTTTTCTTTTTTGCGTGAATTCCCTTTTCCCGTATCCCTTTCAATTCTGCTCATCCGTCGCTCCCTCGCGTTTGTTCGCGAAACTTCCTTCACGAATGTCGTTCGCGACCTTTTGTCTGAAATCCTGTTCGCGAATTGTTGAATTCACCGAATCTGAATCGAAGGGCCCCTCGCATCTGCCTATTGCGGAAGAAGCCCCTGCATGTCTCGGAAGATTGCCTCTGTCTGTAGCGGAAGAAGCCCGGATGCGCGATTCACCTTTGTCGCGATCTTGTTCCTCCCCTCCCGCAATCGCGAACCCCCACACAACCGTCGAATATGTCTTCGTTGTCCTCTGCATCGTGAATCCTCAGTTGGGCAGAACCTTCTTTGAACTCCCGGGGGATCTTCTTCCCGCACGCAACTCGCGACTCGCAAATCCTAGTCGTGAACCTCCAAGTGAATATTCCTGCCGAAATCGAAACTGCCGCCAACCATCTTCCTGCGCCGACAAAATTTTTCATCCGTGCCCTCGAACCAGTCTATGATACCATTTATTGAATTAGGGCGAAGAAAAATAAGAATCGACACAAATCCAGAAGAAGACACAGAGATTTACGAGGTTCGGCAAAGATGCCTACATCTTCAGGAGCAGAGCGGCGACTTCCTTTTCTGACGACTTTTTTTTAATATTCATAAAAGAGTACATAATACAAAAATCAGCTCTCGAAGTCTCAGAGACTTACCTAGGGTTACAAACAGGACATATATATAACCCTATAGTACAATATGTAATATATGTATATGTAATTACTTAAATTACTCATGTACCAAACCGCGGGGTGTTGCCCCCGCACCCCCAACCCACATAATGAAACTCCCTTTATTGGACAAATCCTTCCGCTCCACTCCACTCGTGGGCTCCGCTCCGCTCCAGCATCTGTCCCATTTATGATATATGAGTCATACCTAACAAATCTCCACCTTGGCGAATATCCAGCCCCTTAGGAGAATACATATACACAACAAATCTCCATCTTGACGATTATCGAGCCCCTTAGGTGAAATACATATGTCTAACAGTATGACTTGAAGTTATGTGGTATTTTTAGGTGTTTCTTATGTAAACAAAGCAAAATTGTGTAGTATTTCTAAAAGTTTCGTGTGTTAGGTATTAATGAAAGTTAAGCGAGGAGTGATTCTTGACCCAACTCGCAATTACGCAGTTATTTAATTTCTTGGCCAAATACTTGACTCAGTTTCCTTAAGCGGCTATTATGCAAAATGGATATACTATAGAATTTTGAATTTGATTTATATTTCACACTCTAGAGGTTTTACGCAAGTGCACATGTCGTTTCAAATAATATAGGGTTTTCCTTAAAACCCAGAGTATCGATCCCACATGGAAGCGATGTAAGAAATCCCTTAGTCTAATTTTAGTCTACTATTATCAGGTCTTAGATTAGAATGTTGATTAAAAGTGTTTTATAACAACTACTCATAAATAAAAACCTAAATCTAAAGATAAACCTAACTAAATAAATTGGTTTGGTAAATTTTGAGATGTAAAAACTCCATTTCTCTTGTGAAGACCTCGATAAGGTGTAGGAATGAGATGCTTAGAATTTAATGTATCCTGTGACAATATGAGCAAACTAATTTTTTGCCCTCTTCCAAGTGCATAAATAACATTGTCTAACCTAGAGTTAAGTTCCTAAATCTAAGGTTATGCTGGGTAGGTTCTAGCCTGTCACCCTAGATTACCCATTGTACCATCTCTTTAGGTTTAATCGGTCCTTAAGTTCCAAACCCTAGATCAAATTAGTAAGAATATAGCATGTTACCCTAGAAACACTAATTTACACCCAATCAACGAATATTTCCCTAACATCGTATTGCCGCCTAAACTGCTTCACCATAACCAACCAGACAATGTGAGTGCACTAAAGTTGTGAAGTCACCGCTCTTTCGAGTCTTATTTTCAACTTAGAACATATTTTAACATAACATATGACCAATACATTATGTCAGTGAAACAATAGAGATATTACTCATCGAATAGAAATTAAAATTATTCTATTATAAAACAAATTTTCCCAC